ACCTATTATTACCTACTGCTAATTATTATTTAGTATAGTAATTCGCTATATTAGACGGAAGGTATAAATACGTTAATTAGTAATATAGGAAATAAGTTTATAATTAAAATAGAAATCGCGAATATATTAGAGACCGATTATAAGGGTAGGTAGGAGAGGGGTAGGGAGGGGGAAGGAGGGGGGTAATATTATAAGGCTAGCGCCTAGGTTATAGATTCTAGTCTCTAGAATTAGAACTATTATTAACTATAGTAGTACAGAGTATGTAGCCCTAATAAAAACCTCTCAATGCTAGTAGATCCGTATCTTAGATAGACTTTTCTTCCTTTATAGAACCTTAATTAAACTATACGACTAGTACCTATATTAACCGTGCTGTCCCCATTATAGATAATAGCTAGCGGTTTTAGTTTTAGGGTTTACGCTTGGGACCGCATTGTGAACTCAGACCTCTTGGGGTGTATGTTAGAAATATTACTAAAAATGGAAGCCTGAGGCATTTAATCGATAAATTCAATTTTTCTACTATAATCTAGTAATTTGGTCCGTGCGCGAGTGCGCCAGCGCCCAGGAAAGAGGAGGTCTGAGCGCTGAGATAACCTTCAGGGCACAGAACCATTTACAAATTCAGCGACATAAACTCACCAATCGACCAACCAAAAGGAACACTTACTTACTATACTTAATTACAACAAAGTCAGACGAGGGAAAAAAAGCTCAGGTTTGTACCAGCACTAAAAAAACATATAGAAAAAGGATACCAGCGGGTTATTTTGATTCAAGGAAGACAAGACGAAGACGTAAAACGAAAAAGAAAAAAGAGAAAAAAAAGAAATGCCCAATAACAGGATTGAACTGTTGACCTTCGCATGGACTTGATATCAGGAAGAACACCAGATATTAGTACGACGCTCTAACCAGCTGAGCTAATCGGGCTGGGTTGTTTGTTTGACTCTTTGCATACATTTATAATGTATACATGATGCATCAGACTGGGTTGGCTGTTATCCTCTCGCAAACCGGTAGACTATGGAACAAAGGTTCGGAAGTGTATAAATTCTATCTTAGATACCTACCCTACTTCCAACAGATCTAGTTCTTTAAGTTGAACCGTAGAGATCCCTATAGGGATTGCGCCCAAAGCCACCAAGGGCATCACCACGAACACCGCAAAAACCACGCGCAACAAAAAAGGAACGAGCCCAGCGGCCGCCATCTCAGCAAGAGAAAAAATCGCCAAGATGACTGATAGGTACACGTATAAAGCAAACAAGGCCAGTTGCCGTATGGACTTCCACAAGAGTCCGACTATGAAGAAGAAAAGCCAAACGAGAAAGTGAAAGTCGTAGACAATGTCAGGGACAATGACATCGATCTCCTCCCAATCCATCCTCTGTTGTGGTGGAGGTTGCACTATCTCTTCCCAATCCCTTCTCTCCTGTTGATGAGGCTCAATGACATCGATCTCTTCCCAATCCATCCTTCTTCTCTCTTGATGAGGTTGAGGTCGTTGTTCCTCAAATAGCTCAGGTTCTAGCAAAATCATCCGCCGGATCAACCTAGCATTTCCCTGAGCAACAACCCTCTCTAACCATACTTCTTGATCTATTGCTTCTGGAGCTCCCTGGGCCTGAAGAGCAACTTGTTCGTCTTCGACCTCAATGTCTCCCTGGTTAGCGGCGTTGTCTCCGTTCACATTCGCATCCTCGTCGTTGTCCCGGTTGTCCTCTTGTCCAGTATCGGCTTGTTCGCCCTGGCCCTCCTCGATCAAATTCGGATCAGCAGCGTCCCCCATGTTTCTGCGCTGCTCTTCAGCTTGTCTCTGCTCACGCCGAAGCTGTCCGAGCAAACGAAGAAGACGTCTTGCAAGATGAACCAGCACGGGAGCAGCTTCTGGACCCCCAAACCCATATTCTTGCTCCCAGTCGACATCGTCGTCGTCGTCGTCGTTGCCGCCGTCGCCGTCGCCGCCACCGTCACCTAGATCCTCATCATCGTCGTCGTCGCCATCATCATCATCATCATCATCACCGAGATAATCCACATATTCATCGTCATCACCCTCATCAAAGATCCCTTCATGCACCACAACCAAATGGTGATACACGCGCTCTGCGGCAGCTTCCCCTTCAAACATCTCCAAGCATAACCAGCACAAGTGGGTGTGGCATGCCGGACAAGTGACGTGGTTACACCCATGGACTTTAACAAGGGGGATCGTGCATTTCGGACAGTCTTGAATGCCCTGCTCTGCTTTGGCGAGGGCCATCGAGTGTTCCCCATGCGCTAGATGGTCTTGGAACTCGAGGCAGGTCATGCCTCTGGCTGCGTGGCCTTTCTGGCAGCGTGTGCAGATGTCGACGAGGCAATGGGGACAGGTGATGTGTGGTGCTGTGACGAGATTGTCATTGGGTTCAGGGACGACGTAGACGTAGTCGCAGTCGGTGGTGGGACAATTCTGCAATCTGTGTGGACGGCCCTGGACGTACGATTTGAACGAGGCAGTGAGGAGACGTTCAAAGGTATTGGTTTTGACCATTGTCTGGATCTCTGGAAGGCCAAGAGTGCGGCCACAAATGGAGTTGTCGATTCCTGTGGAGGTACTCGATGGTTTGGGCGCCTGACAGACGACCCGATTGCACCAGCTCCCTATCGAAAAGGTGCTCGAGCAGAGGTTGTGGAAGCAATTACCACAGTAGACATGTTTGCACTGAGTGATTACGGGTGACTCTGCCGTATCACCACATATCACACAGCACTCGTCTGCTGTGATAAACCCCCCGGGGCTTAACCTCTCCTCGTGAATTTGGTCGCAGACGGGGAGCTGGCGTACCACCTCCATCGCCTCGACGAGAACTTCACGGCTCTCTCCGCTGAGGCTGAAGTGTGGTTCATCGTCGAGTGATTGGACAAGCTTCATCTGGTGAGTGTTTCTGGCAAAGGAGGCCTTACTCAGAAGCTGTTTAAGAGTGTTCTGAACCCATTTTTCTGGACCCTTGAACATCATTTCATACTCCAGTCTAGCCATTAGCATTTGCTGCGGGTCTAACGGCAGTGGTGACTGATTGAGAACCTCGACAGCTCTCCTGGCGTCATTCTCGTTCTGAAACAAGGCCGACACTCTCATCATGGTCGGCAAAGTCTCAACTTCTTGCTCTTTGAGGGGACCAAAGTTCGTAAATAGCAAAAGTACAGCTCTCAGAGCACAGCTGTCTTCGAACTTTGGCTTTTTCGTAGTCCACTGCGCACCCCTCAAAAGCTTCGGAGGAATTTGCCTCGTGATCTCTGCCAAAAATACACTTGGTGGAAGCTCCAAGAGCTCGAGTGTCCCGGAACCAGGACCGGAAGAAGAATACTGGGTGGTGACCAGCTTGCCGCGAACCTTGATCTCCCCAGACAGAAACAGAGTATGGATCGCGAGGAGACTTGACGGATCATGGTTCATTTTGATGGTGTACTTGAGGAATTGTCTGCCCCAGTACACATTGACCCTCTTGGACTCTGCTTTGTAGTAAGGGAGGTGAGCCATCTCTGGCTTGACCTCGTAGACCTCCATGCCAGGACCGAAGGTGACGCCAACTCCTGATATCTGGCGGTTTTCCATAGTGGGTGAACCCTATATCAAGGACAAAATTTGTTAGCCTTGCTCGCCAGAAGAACCATGATCTCAAGACAAGCGAGTGTATGAGTTTTCGCAAGACTTACGCTCATGTAGTCTTTGGAATTGTTTTCGGTGACGGTTGATAAGAAGCGCTCCAAGGAACCTTGTCCGGACCTTCTTGATGAGTTTTTTCCGTCCATGATGTCGATTTGTCAGGGAGCTTGCTGGAGCTGGCAAGTCTTCTCGCGATGACTGTTGATAGTTGCGGGCTGAGGGAGTGAATACTTTTCAGAGAGATGGCCAACTTCAATCTGCTTGTGATTCTCGAGGAATCAAGAGTTTGAAAGTAACTCGAAGGACGGGGGAGCTCAGGCTTTTTAAAGTCGCCAAAAGAAAACCAAAAACAGACCTGGTGCCTCTCTGGCCACAGCTCATCAGCAAGGTCAACGCTCGTCCTTCAAAGAAAAATTGAATAGTCAATTTTGCCGGACATGCGAGCAGCAGCATTTCTCATGAGGTCCGCTGCGCTGCGCTGACACTCATTCAACTGACAACTTGGACATCCTTCTCGCCACATGCGAGATGCCGCCAACAAAAACAAGCCATGACAAGTAGCAACATTGCCGTAGCTTGCTCGAAATATGCAATCCTCTCTTGGCAAAGTCGAGGGGTTGTCAATGGGTGGAAATGGCCAGTTTTCGAAGCATCGTGTTGACAATTCAGCAGTAATCTTGGTGGATTGGCGAAGGTATCTGGGAAAAATTAGATGGTGCAGCATGGAAGCTCGGACGATGCAAGATAAAAAATTCTGTACATGCCCGGGCAGGTGGTGGCAGTCCGTTCCTTCTTATATCAATTAACACTCCTATGCGGAGGGATCAGGAAAGTGCAACCAGAAGGCAGATAGCGGAACAACCTGAGGTCCGGAGAGTGACTCAAGAGAGGTGCTTTTCCAAGGGTTTCCAAGTCTGTACATGATAAACCCACAGTACAGAGCCAGAATCAAGTGCATCACCCTGTTTTCTATTACATGCTACGCTGCACTGCACGTCAATCTCCGGTCGATAAGTGATCTGGTTGATAAGAGATTCGGTACTAATCTACATATATGTGGGCAATCACAGTAAGTTGGCAATGATGGTGTTGACTCAGCGAAACAGGCAATTGCTGTAGAAGCCCGCCAGCTACGTAGCTGCCCAAGAAATGACTAAATCCTGAAGAGCTCCAAAAGACAGAGCTGGTTCCAGTTTCTGGTCGGTGGTGACCAAGCTGGCGTCAAAAAAGGTTGCAGGTCAGAGGGGGAAGGGTTACCTAAGAATCTTATCACGCAACTTGAATCAGTTCTGTTAGCCGATAGTTAGACATCTAGACATCATAATTCCAAGTTTGGTCTTTTCAATAAGTGTTCGTTGATATTTCATACTATACTACGCGGTACATTCTCTCCGGGGTATCATTTCAGCTCCAAACGAGCGACAGGATGAAAACATGCTAAAAATCAAAAAGGAAACATATCAGAAAAATTTCCCGACCAAGACAAAGCGGGCATCACCTCCAACTTCCATCAAGTCCTACCCAGTTGATACCTGGTCCCATTCAGCTTCAGAAAGCAGCCGGACTTCTCTCCCCCCTAAACCCCGCATTATACTCGCTTCTCTTCCTCATTACAAACGCCAATGCAAGTGTGTAATCTGTACTATACCTCTTCTGCGGTAGGTGCATCAGCGGACGCATTATCTTCTCTGCCAACCTCTCAGCCGTCATCTCGTTCCAGTTCACGTTACTCGCCACATCACCCCACAAATTCAGCAGCAGCTTGAACAAGCTCCTGTGTGGCCCCTTAATGCCCTGCAATGCTTCCTCCCATAAATCAATGCCCTTATCCAACCGGGTCGCCGAAGACCCAGACATGGTTGCTTGCCGCGACATGGAGATCCACCGCTTTGCCACCGATTCCGGGACTAAAGGTTGGGGAAGCTCCGAGAGGAACAAGAGAATCAAGTCGGCAGCTTCGTAAACGGTGAATTGGTTCCAATCCATAAACTTGCCATATCCGTTCTCGGGTGAGCTGAAGATGGTTTTGAGCCGCTGGAGGCGATTGGGGTCGCCTTCTTGCGCGAAAATATGCGGGGCGCGCAGCCCGTGGTCTTGGATGAAGTAGACGCAGCGAAGGATGCAAAGGGGGTAGTCACGCGTGGAGGAGCCGCCGCTGTCGTGGCGGGTGCCGGCGAGACCCTTGGCTACAGACATGGAGTCGGCGAGGGAGACGCCGAAGACGGCGCCAGAGGGAGGTTTGTTGGAGACTGGTTGGGGAGCTGGGGATTTGGAAGTGGGGGTGGGAGGGGTGGGAGGCATGGCCATGGTGAAAGGCGTAGCAAAGGGGGTGCTACTTAAGCCGAAGGCTAGCGACAAGGATGGGGTGGATGATTTGGCGGAGCTGGTGCTGGCCGTTGAGTGGGAGCGTTGGCGGCTGAAGCTGAAGCCTTTCAAAGCTGAGGAAATTCGGGAGCTGCTTCTTCGTAGCATGGTGGGTTTCGGAGAGTTCGTGAGGTTGGAAGTGGATGTGGTCGGTCGAGGAACAGGTACCACTGGGCGAGGGTTCTCAAAGAGGGAATCGCGGTCTTGGCCGTACGTACGGACTGGTGAAAGACCGCCGCTCATTTGCGGAAAGTGACTGACCGGAACTGTACGAGGTGAGACGGCCGCCGATTCACTTTGGGTTCGATGATGCGGGTTTTGGTTTCGGGGTTCGACATCCAGAAATGTGCCATCAAGATACGGGTTGCTGGTACAAGAGTCGGATGTGCTAGAATTGTATTCGCTGCGAGTGACGGAAGCACCTGACGACGAAGATCGCCTCGGTGACCTTAGCGGTGGTGTCGGAGGTCGAACCGGCATCTCTCTGAGTTCATCCAGCATCTCGTCGAATTCGTCCTGTGTCATGTTGATATAGGTTTGTGGTATCGGGACATCCGATGTTTTGGCATGGACAAAGGGGTGGGCGTCATCGTCCAAATCGATAGCGCTATCAGGGGCCTTGTCGGTCGAGGCCGAATGGGCACTGTTTCTCTGGCCTTCGAAATGGTCCATCTCGCGGTCGACAGCGGCGAGAGCATTTCCGTATAGCGCATCGAGATAATGTTGGAGCTTTGCAACAGCGCCGTTGTGGCGGGCTTCGTCTTCGAGTCGAGCAGCAACACGGCTGATCTGGGCTAGTGCGTCGGCTAACTCGTCCTTGCCATCAGATACCACAGAGGCAACCTCCATGAAAGTTCCCCTAACCGGACTTTGCTGTTCGCTTTGTTGTTTGCTAGAAGTTCTTTTTTTGCACATGTACTTAGTAAACCTGCTCAACCTCACGTTCGAAGCTTCGTACTGTCGGAAGCGCACTTACAACGCAACTAGATCGACCGCCAGTCCCAAGCTGGCCTTGTACACCTCCAACGTCCATCGCAACTTGGCAATATGCCCCCTACTGGCCATCCATCGCGACTTCTTGTCCTGCCTGGAGAGACCCACGCGGTCTAGAATGGAGATGCATCCCTGCAGTTCGTTGATGATGGTGAGGCAGTAGCTGAGTACTTCGGGAGTTCGTTGCGCCAACTGTTCAGGAAAGGATGGGACATCGTCCTTAAGAATCTCGAGAATGCCGTTGAGGGAATGGAGTTCGCTGGACACGGGATCGAGGTCGGCGCGCGATTCACGAACCTCGCGCATGAGGCCGTGGATGGCGGTGACGGTCTTTGCGATAGCGGCGATAATTGCGGAGCACCCGGCGTTGATGGCGCTGGAGACAGTGGTAACAAGACAGGGTTAGCCATGATGTCGCTTTGGACAAGACTCTCCGTCTGTCTCTTAACTGTTCTTCTGGTGTTTATTTTTCCTCGGGGACACGCGATTACTTACATGTACTGCTCCATGTTGCCCGACCCGAGCCTACCAGCCATATGGTCGGCGGCGTTTTGGTGAAGCGCCGTGGTCGCCATGGGGAATACTGCTCTCCGGTGGTCTTGTCTACACCGATTTACGGTTGTACCGGGTACTATGGAGTATCACCGACAGTCCAACAAGGCAGATGAGGAACCGAACAAGACAGAAGGAAAAGGCAGACACGAGGTCGAGACCCGCTGGGGGAGGACTGGAGTATTAGTGTAATCTGATCTCTAGCGTCGGTAGCTGTATCTATCTGACTGATGCCCACGGTTGCTTTGTATTGCTCACCTTACATGGTATATGGATCGTCAAGTGCCATTGGGTGGTGTGTGACAGCCGAACCGGGACCCTTGTTCCGCATGTCCCCAAAATCCATCGGGAAGGTGGCATGGCGTACCGTGGATGGGATGGATTGGCGTGATGATTGGCGGCGGCCAAACTCCCGTCTTCCCTGCAGTGCCTTCTGCACCCGTGGACCGACTAACCACCGGCGTTGATGGCGTCTTCTTGGGGACGTCTTGGCGTTGCTGGAAGATGGGGAATGAGTGTAAACGACTGTCATGGCTACACAAAACCGACGGCCAATACCTATGGTAGGACCTGTCGCACTCGCCTATTTCCTCCATCGTCAGAATTATCTTTTTTTTTTGTCATTCTCAGCGGAGGCAAAAAAAGAAAAGAAAAGAAAAACAAGCCATGTCCAAGTTTTCTCAAGTTACTTCGCTTTCAAACAAACCATCATATCTTGCGGGCTTTTTCTTCTTTATCCCCTGAAGCGAGACTGCTTTGCGTCCGCCGCAAGTCCCATTGAGCCCACAATAAGATAGAAGATCGCGATACCTGGCCTCCGTCCACTTTCCGCTTGTGGTTAAAGGCAACCTCTTCCCCTCAACCTGCCATTGGCCGGCCGGTCTATTCGGCCCACCGATCACCTTTGAGTTCAGGCACTTTCTGTTCCTGGGTGGGTGCCCGGTTGTGGTCGTGAGGGTGTGTGCAGTCGTACATCGTGACCTCCATTGTATGAGACTGCAGTGGACTCTCGTCGGCACTTTCTCCATTCTTTTGTCCGTCCGTCCGTCCTGCCTGTCAAGTCCGCTGCTGTGGAATGGAAAGCGATACAGTGGGAATGGAAATCACCAGTGTGGTGTGGTGGGGGGTCCGCGGGGGCCGGGGGGTTTCGTCAACCGTTCCACTTCGCTGTACCGGTACGTAGTACGCTAAGTGTAAGTATGTAATGTAAAAAGAAACGAAGGATCCACACATGGTCGTGCGGGGGAGAAGAGATGTCCACGAGCCCGGCACCCGGACCTCGTCCACCACTCACCACAAGGCCGGCCCGATTTCCAAGACAAGACACGGCTCGGCCCAGTCACTCGCTGCAAAGAGGAAGAAGAAGATGATGAAGAGAGTCTATGCAGGTCTCAGATTTCCCATTCTAAACAAGTGAGTCCGGTATATCTTCCAGAAACTCAGCAGTCAGCAATGCCTCTGATTTTCCGCACCCTTCACCAGGAAAGTCGACAAAACTATCATATCATTGAGTTTACTCTAATATTGCAGGGAATCTCCTTTCGGAACTCTACTGGCCCAAAAGGAGGTTGTTTTTGGGTGAAATACTACATTCTGGGTTGCAAAGCACATTTGGCCTAGACACATATCTTGAAGAAGCAAAGAGGTGTCAGTCAGTGCAACTTCCGTAAAAGTGAAATTGTGGGGCAAATTCTCCAAGTTTCCGGGACTTCGACAGCGTTTCCCCCGGAGGAGACTGCCGAGGACCGGCGGCGATCTTTCCGTTTCGCTGTCGTCGGTCATTGTCTAAGTCAACAGTGTCTCTCTCGAAGTTGTCGAAGATACATATCTAAACCACGTTCATTAAACATGTGCGCTCGGCAGGTCTCAGAACCATTTGAGCGAGGGCAACATCTCTCGCTCAATACGTACAATACATATCCAGCAGCAACCATCGACCATCCATCAAGCCATCCATCCATCCATCCATCCATAAGCACTGCATTTTCGGTGGTACATAGATATACGACTGGTTAGGTACCGACCGAGCCGAATGCGCCGCTTAACCACACAAACCGCTTTTGATATTCAGCTGGGTGAGCAGAACAGTCAAGAGTTTATTGGAGTGCTTGGACCCAGCTGAGCGTGATCAATCATCGTCAAATGTGATGATCCAGACTTTGAACAGACTCACAGACTTTCTTTTGTCCTTTCAGCGTTGCATTCTCTGCCGCCCGTGTCCCCATACCTCCTCCTCCCCTGCTCTCAACAAGCCATGTTGCCGTGCTGAGAAACGTGGCGCCGAGAAGAGACAAGAGAAGAAGTGATGGACCGGAAACAAAACGTGGCCCGTGCGGCTCCCAATATGTATCGGTCTGCACCCTGCAAGCAATTCGATAGCGTGAAACAAACAAGGGGACCATGGAACGTCTGACCACCGTCTTATCTCTTTGATGAAGGATGCTATGAGTGAGGAGTGATCGGATCGTTCAAAGATGAGCTCTCGAATTAATAAAGATTGTCTAGGAATCAAAGGAATCTTGAGTGAGTTTCATGTTCAAGTTGTCACATCTTTGCGGTTGGTTGCGTTTGGTGATCAGTCTCTGAGATGGTTGTGTGACTCGAGAAAAATTAAGGCCTGAAAAGGAAGACGATGATGAAGGCAGCTAGGATGCAATTGAACAGGCAATGATCGTTGTGTTTCGGCCGTCGCACATCGTGGATTTTGGAGGATCATTTTCATGTTATCATTCTTGGGAAGGTTTGGATGGTCACCCAAGCGGGAGGGAAATTGCTATGCTTCACTAACAGGAGATGCTGTAGACAGCATACATTTCTGTTAAGGCCAGTTAAGATAAATCACAGAGGTGGCATTTCATCCAAGCATACAGCGAGTTAAACAACCAAAACGTCGAAACAGCAGCTCCGAGACTCGGTACGTATGCCATATGTTCAATAGTGGTGTTTATACACTTGCTAAGATATATACAGCAGAAGTATGTCGTAAAAGTATGTGCAAGCGCTAATTGATCCCCCCAAAAATGCCAAAAAAATTCCCATCTGTTTTATCCGAATTATCAGGACCCTTTTTCATCCCGACAACTCAGGCTGAAGTGGCCACACTTGGCACTTCACTATCACCACCACCACCATTCCTTCTTCAACCGCAGAGCCTCAGACCAATTCCACCCATTTAAGGGAGGCACTGGCTGTACCAATCGTTCGAGAACTTGCAAGTGCCCGAAGCGCAAGTGGTAGGGCCAGTCCAGCCCTTACCACCGCACTGTCCATAAAGGGCAGCAGCACGGACAGCCGAGTTACCGCCGTTGGTAGGCTGGGGGGTGCTAGCCTTGGTAGTAGAAGCAGGCTTGGAACCACCGCACTGTCCACTGTGAGCAGCGCCGGTACCCGAGTCACTGCCGTTGGTAGGCTTAGGGGTGCTAGCCGTGGTAGAGGTAGGCTTAGGGGCGCTAGCCGAGGTAGGCTTGGGGGTGCTAGCCGTGGTAGCAGGAGCAGGGCTTGAACCACCAGAGCCACCAGCGGGGCAAGTGAACAGCGCGGGGCCGGGGATCTGGTACGGCTTACCGCCGTTGTCGGTCTTGCCACTGCCACCGTAGATGTTGATGAGGATACCCGGGTCGGAGGCCGAGTAGGCACCGGGGAAGCTGACGGTGTTGGAAGGCGAGGTGCTGCCGCCGCCGGTGACGTTGATTTGGGCGCAGCCAATGTAAAACTGCGCGCCGGCTTGCGAGCCGGCGTTGTGCAGCGCAATGATCTCGGCACGCATGAGGTACTGGCCCGGAGCGATACAGGTCGGCATGTTGAAGTAGGACCAGCCGTCGTTGGCGATCAGGTCATCGACGGCCCACTTGCCGTTGCTGAGGCCGGCTTCGGCGACCTTGAACCACTTGAGCCCGGAGGTGCCGGTGGTGGCGGCGTTGTCGACCTTGGTGAGGTAGACGATGATGGGACCTGAGAGAAAGACACGTTAGCGGACCGTCAAAAGACATATGCTAAGAAGAATATGGGCGGAAACTTACCCTTGTGAGAAGCAGCAATCGGGTTGTCAGCGTCGTTGGGGCCAGAAGCACCGCCAATCTCGTGTCCCCACCAGTGTCCAACCTTGGCACCGGCCGGAACGGTAAGGACGTTGCTATCTTTCATCGTAACAGCGTTGCAGATAATGTCAGAGGACATGACGTCGGTGACGGGGTTGTTGTTGGCAGGAGCACGGATGCCCTTGAGCTGGCCCTGATCGGCACCGTTGACGGACACCTTCTGGAAGATGGTGTGGGCGCTGGCCGAGGCCACGAGGGCCGCGAGGATGCTTCCGGTCTTCATGTTGGACTGTTGTTAAGGAGTGACTATGGGTAGGGCTGTTGTTAAGGAGTGACTATAGGTAGGGCGTTGTGCTGGTTGGTTGAACAATGGAATGAAACTCGAGAAGGTGACGGGAATCGGCAGCACTTATACTCGTCTACCATCAGCCATCCTCGACGTCTTTGAGATTCTAGGCCTTCGGTATACTGTCGCCCCTTTTCCCTTGATATCTCGGATGGCAGTACCGCCTCCCTGTATGATTGGCTGAGCTCCTAGGTCATCCTGGTTTTTTTGAAACTTCTCGAACGCGATGCGAAATTCCAGTCCATGAACGTGGGATGCCATCGTGTCGTAGGTGCGCATAAATCTGGAACTGATGTCTCCATCATGGTACATAGCGCTCTTCCCCGGATTTTCCTGCCTGACTTGAAGCCAAGCCATTGTTTCAAGACCCCAGCGTGGCCCTGCGAAATCTCGCTAGATGCCAGAATACGATCGGTCCGCTTTCCGACTTTCCGAATCCCCAGTCTCGCATCCCTTCTAGCCCGGATCGGAACTCTTGGCAGATCGGAGTTCTGCCAACGGTCTTCCGAGATTTCCTTTTTCGGGTCTATAATCGAGGTGAAAGGGGGCATGCACGAACCCAAACCTCGTGGGCGGCTCCGGGAAGACCGAGTGCATCGGCCGAGATTGCTGTGCTACCCTGTGACAGGTCGGTGGTGCATGTAGCCAAATTCAATATACTACTGCCGATGCCATCTCCATCTACACCTTGGGTTTCGGACGTAGGAGGTAG